CACACACACACACACACACACACACACACACACACACACACACGCTAACACTCAGTGTATGTGTGTTGATACTTTCATCTCCTAAAATACAATATTTTATCTCAATATGTGAAAAAAATGATCAAAGCCTTCTGTGTGTGCAATGGTTGATTAGCTGTTGCTATCTTGAATTTGCTCAATAAGGTAATCAGTTGTAGATGTTCACCTATTGATCATGTTCTGAGTTTCATTCAAATCTGTTCAGTGGTTCCTGAGGTATTTTGAGAACAGGCAGCTTGTGCATTTAGGACTGTTTGGCTGGGGTGTGGAAATCAAATTTATGGGCAGAGGTGGGGTTCATTGCCCTCTTGACCCCCCCCCCCCCTCTGTGTTTCCCCCAGCTGTTAGCTTATCTGTTTAATCTTTATTTCTCCAAACTGAGTCAAAGAATTATCTACAACAGGAAACATTTTAATTCCTTAAAACCTTTTCAAAGAATCCCACCTTTAAAAAAAATAAACGAAAAAAAAAAGGACTAACCCTTTAGTAAACATACTCAGAGAGACGGGGGAAATACCATGGTGCAGCTCCTTAAACTCAGTTTAACTTTTCAGTTCAAGATGAATACCACAGCTAATCAAACTGGCTACAACTCAGTCAGCCTTTTTTAGCTCCTATGTAACTGAGACAAACAGAAAAATAGACCCTCTCTTGTGGAGCGGAGGGGAATGTACGGAGCCCCGTAGGAACGCACTGATCCTCCAAATAAAAATAAAAAAAAAGAGGGAGAGAGAGAAGCTTGGATGAGGTAGTGTTGTGAAAGTTTCGATTCTCCTCTGAGCCTGAACATTCAGCCTGAACCTTTCAAAATAAGACTTACAGTTTCAGGCACGACACAAGCAGAAAAGGCTTCAGAACAAAAACAAAAGCAAAGCAAGTGCATTGAATCTGTTCTTTAAGGTTAAGCTGTGTTCTCCTATGATGCATCTGTTTCTAGTGTTTAAATCCTATTCAGTAAACTTCATGTCACAGTTAACATGTTTCCTCCTCAGTTAGGATCAGGATCAGTTTGGGAACTCTTGCTCAGGTCTGGGTTTCCTAASTCTCACAGGAAGTCACAGACATCCTCAGGAATTCCGTCTGAAGTCTGCAGAGAACTGAACACACTTGATCCTTACTGGGATGACCCCTTCAAACTAAAAACCTAACTGGCACTGACACGGTTAACATCTGGAACATCTGGACCAATCTCAGAATCATGTGACCGAGGGGAAAACTGACACTGAGGAAATTGGAGTCTGCCTTTACGCTTGGAGGACATTTCACAGAAACGAAACCCCTCAAAGTTCAACTTTAAATATGTTTCAGCTTCTTAAGCTCACCTTCAGCCTGTTGCCATGGATACCAGGTACGACTGCTGACGTCATCTGATGATAAAAGGCATTTGATTACTTATTTGAAACGAACCATAGTTAATGACTGCGGCCATATTTCTACTTTATTGTTATGATTTTGTTGAACTGTTTTGGCTTTATTATAAAGTGCCTTTTATAATGCTTCAGTTTCTGTATGAATTATTAGGTGAAGACTGACTTTAAATTGCTAAAAGCCGCARTTTTCTGCAGGAGGCAAAGTGGAAGTTTGTGTTTTTGAAAATCTTCAAGGCTTTCATATWATTTCCCCCTGAGGCAACAGTATGAAGTTTATTCTGTCAAGCCTTAAAAGTCCTGAGATTCACAGACACATAACCTGATTTTGGAATAACAAGTCAACACTTGTTATTCCAAAATCAGGGGAAGTGAGTGTGTGCGTTTGGGGTGGGGGGGTGAGACACAAAAAACTTTCATTATAAATGTGGTCAAGGACATCAAAAAGAAAAAAATAAGGTATTCTGGTTGGGTTCTTTAGTGAACTCAGCCTTATAAGCACTGCTTCCACATGGTGGACAAACAGGTTAGCCACATGCAAAAGAGGGCCATCGCCTAACAATAGGCTTGATTAGCTCTATTGTTCATAGAGGGTCATGTGTCAAGCCTATCGTTAGGCGATGGCCCTCTTTTGCATGTGACTAACCCGTTTGTCCATGTGGAGGCAGAGTTCACCTGAAACTCATCAGACTGAAGAAGTCTTGGAGGAGAGACGAAATGTTTCAGTAAAGAAGAGCCCATCCAGAGGACTCACTTAATTTTTCTTTTTGATTTTTTTCTACCTGGATCACTGAGATGCATCAGGACGTGGTCAAGGACACTTTCCCCTTATTCAGAAAAGTAGATAACAAGTGACAATTCTGAAACCTTAAATAGTTTTTATCTTTTCAAACATTTGTCGTCACTTTTTATCAGTCCTCCTGTGTAAGGTWGTCACGGAAAAGGAGTTCTCAGTCCTGGAGGGAGGCTCCCTCATGATCCCCTGCCACTACGAGCCTCAGTACGCCAGCCATGTGAAATACTGGTGCCAGGGGGGCACGAGGGAGTTCTGCACCTCGTTGGCTCGCACCGACGATGCCCGCGCRATGGACCCGGCGGAGGACAGGGTGAGCATCTTCGATGACCCGGGCCAGCGGGTCTTCACTGTGACCATGAACGACCTGAAGGAACARGAGTCCGGGTGGTACATGTGCGGGGTGGAGATAGGCGGGGTGTGGAAAGCTGACGAYGTCACCTTCACCAACATCAAAGTTGTTCATGGTGAGTAAAAAARTAAAATAAAAAACCTTTAGCYGATGACTCCATCTTGTCAAGGCCGTATGAGACATTTCGGTGTTTTCTGCAGGACTCTCAGCTGTGGACAGCAGGATGAGYGGAGTGGAGGGCAGCTCTGTCACGGTCCAATGCCGCTACAGTGAGAGATACAGGCATTTAARTTTCCTTTTTTGATCTGAATTTCATTATTGTGCCAGTTTGAGATTCCACCACTGAGACCAACTCTCATCGAATTATGGATGAACGCCTGGAAACATAGTTGTCAGCTGGAAGTCTTTCATTCACGTCGAGTACCGGTTGGGGATCAGACTGTACTGACTCCCCTGTGTCTGGCTGCCAACAGAGAAAGTGAGAAGAATTGGTGTCGGAGCGGAGACTCGAGATCCTGCAAGACGACCAGTTCCGTGGGAAGCTACGAGGACTCCTCGGTGGCCATCAGAGATGACAGAACTGGGGCTTTCACTGTAACCTTTAAGAAGCTGCGGATGACAGATACTGCCTGGTACTGGTGTTCTGCAGGGGAGCAGAATATATCTGTGTACCTGCTCGTCACTCCACGACCCACTACCAGTAGGTTGACAAAAAAACAAACAAACAAACAAACAAACAAACAAACAAACAAACAAACAAACAAACAAACAAACAAACAAACAAACAAACAACTCCTTAACGTATTCTTCTTGAAAATGTTCTTACACTGAATTCAGGTCTGCAGTCATGGGGGATAAAAAGAAAATTTTTCTTTTAAATCCAGGGTAAATCAAGGTAAACATGATGACAATAGAAATATGTTTGAATATATTTTAATTTTAYCCAATATAATTGAATCATTAACCATTATATCAATGCATCGATGTGGGTCGATGTGTTGTTACATGACATTTTACACAAAGTTGTTGCTGTTCATCAATCTGAGGAGAGTTAAAGGTCATTTTCAAAATAATTAGAGTCCATCAGTCTACAAAGAGAAAGATTATTCACCATTAAAGACAGCTGCCAATCCTTTAAGGAGCCAGTGTTCTAGCACATTCACCCCAAAGTCAGACTGTGCAATTCTCAGAGAAGTGACGAGAAAACACAAAAGCCCCATCTCAGATTTTTCGGCCCTCAGTTTTCAGGTTAAACATTAAAAGCTCATGACGGGGGACTTTGAAAAAGACTGAACAAGTACTGTAAGGTTAGTTGGGATTTGTTGTAAGGTTGTAAAAGTTACATCTGAAGGAATCATAACTTTTAGAACAGTGTCTTTTAAAAAGATGCTGTTGAAGTAGAGAGGTTTACCCATAATGCACCGGGCCATGTTCGGAGAAGTCTAAACACAGCTTGTCAGCACAAACACCTTATTCCGTTTGTCAAGCTCGGTTGAGAAAGACTTATGATTTGGGGCTTGTTCTGAAGCCCCAAAACTTGAGTACATTCAAGGGTACCCTCAAGGGGGTCATTGGCCCCCATCTAAAACATTTGTCGCACCACCAAGATGGCGGCCATGTTCTGAACGTAGCCTAAAAGATGGTCCTCCCCACCCATTACTTGCTGGGGTATTCAAATATGTCCTGTTCCCCTTTCTTTCTAAAATAAAAGGGCATCCTGGGATTTTTGACTCTCCTCATATAATTATTATTATTATTTTATAAATATAAATTTAGGACAGGAGAAGCGTCAGTAACACGAGTTGTGACAGAGATTTTCATAYAAAAAAAGTTTGGTGGAGCTGTGTGGGGGAGGCACAGGGGAGGGGGTGCTCTGTAGGCCGGGAGTATGGTTGGAGACTGAGCTCCAGGAAGGAACTGTGTATAAATAGGCGGAGCTTTGTAGCAGCAAGTATTTAGGCAGCTACCACAAGAGAGTCAAGGATTTCTCAAGCATGCATAAATGAGTCAAAGCAACACTGAGTATGTGTTTGATGGCTGAATGACAATATAACATGACATAAAGCTCAAAAATGTCTATTATGCATTTTATCCCCCACCCAGCCCTTTAAGTAGCCCATAGTTTATCGGAAGATGATTTTTAACTACTGCATTGCTGTATTTGTCAAACATGGCAACAACATAACAAACCGGACATTATGTACTGGCTTTTGGTTTTGGTTTGACAACCCACAATTATCAGCGCTCAGTTTAAAAAAAAATCTGGAGGTGCCACATTTGCAGTTAGCGAGTTGACAATAAATTTGAACCGAAGGATTTTGAAGTGTAATGTGAGTTCATTAGAGATGGTATAAATGGCTCTTTGAAGGGATCCGGATCTTGGGGAGCCGTTTGTTTCATAGAGTCGTTCAAAAAAGCCGCTTGATTTTGAACGTATTACGTCATCACGTAGGGAAATACATCATCACGTAGCCATTCGTAATGACGTCATCCCGTCACGTCGGTGGAACCATTTGTTTGTCAAGCGGAAACCCCWCTTCCCCCTTTCACCTTGTATAAGACCTCATTTTGTAATAACAGCGTATTATGTAATAATGTAATAAAATCAGGCTTCAAAATGTAATAAACACGCGCTAAAACCGCATTATGTAATAACTGACACAAAATGTACCATAATAAAAGTCTTTCACACATTATGTAATAACGTTATTACATTTTGCAGCAATTGCTAATAATGGTGTAATAATTTGGTGCATTGTACAATAAACAATCAAAAAACAGAATTTCTTTTTATCCCAATATACTTGTAATAACTGTCATGTTACAAATTAAATCTTTATAACTTTGGTCAATAAACACCAAACTTCTAGTCTTTTATTTGCATTTTAAGTCAAATTCTTGTGTATAGGGATGTACAGGTATAGTGCAATCTCATGGATTTTTTTCATGTTTTATGGAATCTTTCAAAAACTTAGTTTCTAATTTATTCAACATATCAGAGCTTTTAGGAAATTAAAAAAAAACAATTATCAACATCAAATATCCACTTCCAACCCACTCTGTTGCTAGAAACAAGTTCTTCAACCCTCATATCCTTCTGATACAGAAGCCGACAGTCCGCCTGCACTGCGCCCCCCTCCCGTGTGTGATTAATACAGTTTTTTTTAATGAAAAATACAGATTTTTAAGGCTCATTATACAGGTAAACATCTGAAGGGGTTGACATGTATGTACAAATAACTTTTAAATATATTTGGGGGAAAAAGTGGAATAATTTCTGTAACAGAGATCAGGACAGTAAATCTGAAAATGCAAATAAAAGATGAGAAGTTCGGTGTTTTATTGACCAAAGTTCTAAAGATTTAATTTGTAACATGACAGTTATTACAAGTATATTGATTAGGATGAACAGAAATACTGGTTTTTGATTGTTTATTASACAATGCACCAGATTATTACACCAACACATTTTGTAACAATTGCCGCAAAATGTAACAACGTTATTACATAATGCATTGAAGACTTTTATTACATTTTGCATCAATTATTACATAATGCGTTTTTAGTATGAGTTTATTACATTTTGAAGCCTGATTTTATCACATTATTACATATTGCGCTGTTATTACAAAATGAGGTCTTACAACTGTGAGCTTCTGTACTCCACAACTCTGCCTTTTTTCTGTGAAAAAGCAAAGCGGGAGCGATTTAAATATGAAAAATAAAGATTATATGAGGAGTAAATGAAATAAAAATATAAATGGCTCGTTACTGCCCGCGATTCAGCTCCTATCGTTCGTTGTAAAGAGCCGTTCAAAAATATTTGGGTCATTTGTGAATGTCACAGCTCCAGATATCATCTGTCCAACAGCTAAAGCTTGGACCAAACTGGGTCATGATGCAACAGGACAATGGTCCAAATCACAGCAGTTAATCAACAACAGAACAACTAAACAAAGGAAAAAAAATCACATTTTTGCAATGGTTCTAAGTCCAGATGTCAACATTTTTAAAATGCTAGTAGAACTTTCAGAGAGCTGTGCACAAATGTCTGCAAACCTCAGTGAACTGCAGCATTGTTGCAAATAAGAGTGGGCCAAAATTCCTCCACAACCATATGAGACAGATGAAGTTGTACAAAAGAAAAAAAAATACTGATGGGATTTATTGCTGCTAAAGTACACGTTATGTTACAAGCTGCTGAATCACGGGGCGGAATATTATTTTCACACAACATTTTTCCATTTGGGCTTTGTTTTTGTTTGATAAAAAATTTAAAGATGACTCAGTTGGGTGCTTTTGTACCATTGAGCTTAGATTTTTATTTTTTTATTTTGTCTTGAAATGTAAATCCCTATAGAGCGGAGCAAGAAAAGCAATATGTTTGATTTGACTTTGAAAAAGCTCCAGGAAGACTTAAATCATTTATATTATAATGAAGTTATTCTGCTTGTCACCTTAAAGATTTAAAAGTTCTATTTCCATAACCACAATGAGATGACAGCTCTTCTGAAACTAGGTCAAAGATGAAAAGGAGGTGTCAAGCATCAAAAATTAAAAGTGAAACAGACAAATGTTGTCTATGATTAATGTTGTCCCGATTGGTTAAACTTGGACAGCGAGCATGACGGAGCATTAAAATTGGGATTGAGATGTCAGTTTAGAATCGAATGGATCGTGTATCATTTCAATCATTTTCTACGGGTGATTTGTGTTTTCTGTCATCTGTTTACTTTTTTTTTTTTTTTTACAAAAATGTCTCACAGTCAAAAGTGCTGCAGGGACTCGGCACTCACTCAGTCTAATGCACTCAAATCACAGTGTGGAACAAATTATTCCTGCATTCTGTATAATTTTAATGTTTTTAAAGCTTCCTATAACATCACACGAAACATAAAAAGCAATCCACAAAAAAATGCACCAGTATCCAGAATCAGGGCTGCCGTAAACACATCTTTGTGCTTGCATCAAACTGAAGACTTTRTATTCACCATTCATTTTTGCAACTGCATATTTGCCTGACCCAGACATTTTCCCTAACCCTAACCATTCCTAGTCTATTCCTAACCCTAACCTGAATCAAGACCTAATTCACACCAYACCTCTAAACCTAACTAGAAGAGCGCAGTAAAGCTGCAAAAAGGTGAAGACCGGGAAAATGTCCTCATTTTATTGGTTAAAAACATATTTTGGTCCTCACTTTGTAGCAGAAACAAGTAAAGACACACACACAGTCAAGGAAAACAAAGAGCTCACGAGGAGTAAAAAGCAAGAAGCTGGTTGCTGTTGTATTCATTTTTAAAAAGTTGCTTATTCAAATGAATATAGTGTTCAAATTCTCAGAAAACTACTGATATTAAAAAAATACCCTGATGAGTGGATGAAAGAAAGTTAGTGGTGCTCACAATTTATCACCATCAGCCTGAATTATCTAAAAAAAACTTTTATAGCAACTGGTAGTCAGAGCTGGGAACACTATAACTGCAGGCCTATACAAGGACAAATACAGTATGACGGTAAAGCAATTTATAATGTTGCATTCATCTTATTCTGGTTATACTGAATAAGCACAAAAGGTTTCGGTTCCACAAAGGTTAGGCCCAATAATGCAGACTGACTCAAGAAGCCTAAARAAACAACTTAACTTTTACTTTAAAAAACAAAAAGCTGTTGTGTCAGCAAAACCTCCTAAGAAAGATC